TCGAACACCTGCAAACTAACTAATAAATGGATAAAGAGTGATAGGTGCTGTGATGGAATTCTTTCACTAAATGTTAGAATCCTAAATTGGTATGAATGTAAATGCTCCTAAAAAGCCGCAATAACCCCCCATTAACCAATCCCCAAGAAGTCTGCGGTTTCGCGTCAATAACCCCCGCACAACATCTTCAACAACATCCCGATAACACTGTAATAACCCCTCATTAACACAACAGGGCGAACAACTCTAATTACTCTTTAGTTTCGCGTAAATAATCTTGTATAAAAATTCCAATAACACCCGCAAAACAACTCTAATAACGTCGCAATAACCCCCCAATAACAGCGTGCTGTGAATCATTATAATGACCTCTGTGGTTCCACTTCAATAACCCTCGTATAACAACTCCAATAATCCCCAATAACGCCGCAATAACCCTTCAATAACTTCGCGCGAAGAACCGATCTAATAACACCACAATCCCACTTCAATAACCCCCACAGAACAACTCCAATAACCACTTTACCGTCGTAACCCGACGTAACCAGTTTTACTCTGGTTGACCCAACATCTTTCTATCATTAAACTTCTGTTGATCTCCTATAAAATAAGATTTCAGTCTATGTCCATTCACTTTAAAGATTTTCTCAAATTTAGAATCTTTAATATCAACAGCTCCATAAGGATAAACTTTAATCACAATAAATTTGCATATCAAATTTGCATATCAAATTAGTAATAAAACACAAGACAATGAAGAAGCTGAGCAGTGTATGTTGGAATCCTTGAAAAAATTATCATTGAATGTTGATGACATTGTAAGTCGGAAAGGCACTTAGTTCAGGCAAAAAAAAAAATCAGTGAATAATGAATCCAACTTGATTGACCCAACCAATTGGCGTCATAAGGGAATAAATAATTTCAAGTTAAAGGTGTATTGAGAAAAGAAGAAGAGAGGAAAACTTATATTCCTCTATTCCGAAGCATGTTTAATTTTTTAGCTAACAATAAGTTTTTCTAACACTTACCATGATACACATGAAAGCCAAAAGAACCTTCAACCATCCATGGACCACAACCAAACCCATTTGATCCAAACATGTGTTCAATGCCCAATTTTCTCACACAAGTCGATATATAATGGAAAATAATCATCATTTTGTTTTGTTTTTTTTTCTTTATTTTTTTTTGTTACTCGTCTATAAACACTCACTCATGATTATTTCAAAATTGCACAATTGGTTTATACCGCAGCCCACAAAATCATATACCGAATTGATGATGGATTTCATACGTGAAATATAATTTTTAGCACAAAATATTCAATCACATTATTTTTTTTTGTGGAATAGTGTGCAAAAAATAAGTATATTAAATCTAACAATATTGCAGGTATTACTTATGCAATTTTTATTTATATTATTTTTCCAGAATAAATTAATAGCATCAATTTTATTTCAAAATTGCATAAATAATTTAGATCGAACACCTGCAAACTAACTAATAAATGAATAAAGAGTGATAGGACTGTTGTGATGGAATTCTTTCACTAAATGTTAGAATCCTAAATTGGTATGAATGTAAATGCTCCTAAAAAGCCGCAATAACCCCCTATTAACCGATCACCAAGAAGTCTGCGGTTTCGTGTCAATAACCCCCGCACAACATCTTCAACAACATCCCGATAACACCGTAATAACCCCTCATTAACACAACAGGGCGAACAACTCTAATTACTCTTTAGTTTCGCGTAAATAATCTTGTATAAAAATTCCAATAACACCCGCAAAACAACTCTAATAAGGTCGCAATAACCCCCCAATAATAGCGTGTTGCGAATCATTATAATGACCCCTGCGGTTCCACTTCAATAACCCTCGTATAACAACTCCAATAATCCTCAATATTGCCACAATAACCCTTCAATAACTTCGCGCAAAGAACCGATCTAGTAACACCACAATCCCACTTCAATAATCCTTGCAGAACAACTCCAATAACCACTTTACCGTCGTAACCCGACGTAACCAGTTTTACTCTGGTTGACCCAACATCTTTCTATCATTAAACTTCTGTTGATCTCCTATAAAATAAGGTTTCAGTCTATGTTCATTCACTTCAAAGATTTTCTCAAATTTAGAATCTTTAATATCAACAGCTCCATAAGGATAAACTTTAATCACAATAAATTTGCATATCAAATTTGCATATCAAATTAGTAATAAAACACAAGACAATGAAGAAGCTGAGCAGTGTATGTTGGAATCCTTGAAAAAATTATCATTGAATGTTGATGACATTGTAAGTCGGAAAGGCACTTAGTTCAGGCAAAAAAAAAAATCAGTGAATAATGAATCCAACTTGATTGACCCAACCAATTGGCGTCATAAGGGAATAAATAATTTCAGGTTAAAGGGGCATTGAGAAAAGAAGAAGAGAGAAAAACTTATATTCCTTTATTCCGAAGTATGTTTAGTTTTTTAACTAACAATAAGTTTTTCTAACACTTACCACGATACACATGAAAGCCAAAAGAACCTTCAGCCATCCATGGACCACAACCAAACCCATTTGATCCAAACATGTGTTCAATGCCCAATTTTCTCACACAAGTCGATATATAATGGAAAATAATCATCATTTTGTTTTGTTTTTTTTTCTTTATTTTTTTTTGTTACTCGTCTATAAACACTCACTCATGATTATTTCAAAATTGCACAATTGGTTTAAACCACAACCCACAAAATCATATACCGAATTGATGATGGATTTCATACGTGAAATATAATTTTTAGCACAAAATATTCAATCACATTATTTTTTTGTGTGGAATAGTGTGCAAAAAATAAGTATATTAAATCTAACAATATTGTAGGTATTACTTATGCAATTTTTATTTATATTTAATTTTCCAGAATAACTTAATAGCATCAATTTTATTTCAAAATTGCATAAATAATTTAGATCGAACACCTGCAAACTAACTAATAAATGGATAAAGAGTGATAGGACTACTGTGATGGAATTCTTTCACTAAATGTTAGAATCCTAAATTGGTATGAATGTAAATGCTCCTAAAAAGCCGCAATAACCCCCTATTAACCGATCCCCAAGAAGTCTGCGGTTTCGCGTCAATAACCCCCGCACAACATCTTCAACAACATCCCGATAACACCGTAATAACCCCTCATTAACACAACAGGGCGAACAACTCCAATTACTCTGTAGTTTCGCGTAAATAATCCTATATAACAATTCCAATAACACCCACAAAACAACTCTAATAACGTCGCAATAACCCCCCAATAACAGCGTGCTGTGAATCATTATAATGACCTCTGTGGTTCCACTTCAATAACCCTCGTATAACAACTCCAATAATCCCCAATAACGCCGCAATAACCCTTCAATAACTTCGCGCGAAGAACCGATCTAATAACACCACAATCCCACTTCAATAACCCCCGCATAACAACTCCAATAACCACTTTACAGTCTCAACAATAACCCCATAAAAACCCCCAAATAACACCGCGTTGTGATCCGCTTCAATAGCCTCGGAGATTCCACTTCAATAACTCCGGCAGAAGAACTCCAATAAGTCTCCAATAATGTTGCAATAATCCTTCAATAACAACCCATATTTAATAAAATAATAAAAAAAATTAAAATAATGTTACCTTATGTTTCTCTAATGAATTCACACACTAGTCACATAATAATTGAGAAGTCCAAGAAATCATTACTTATATATGAATTTTATGCTATTTTCTATATTTAACAAATCTCTTAGCGATCACTTACCTGATACAAACTACATCATTGTCATCATCATCTTCTAATATGCTTCATTTATTAAATTTCTTAGCCATCAATTCCTTGATACAAATCACATATTCGTCATCATCGAATTCTAAAGGTCAGGTTTTGACGTTATTGTGGGGTTATTAAAGCTGGCTTAGAGGGTTTTGAGTTCATTGCTGATCTCTTACTCTCAAATAAATCACTAAATACCTTAATTTCACTGTTGTTGAGATTAGTAACAACCTTGGACTCGTCTTTAGGAGACTTATTAGAGTGGTTATTCGCTAGATGTTATTGAAGGGTCATTGCGGCGTTATTGGGTACACATTGAAGCTGTTTTGCGAGGGTTATTGAAATGGAACCATGAAAGTTATTGGAGCGGTTTGTTATTAGAAGGTTATTGTGACGTTATTGAAGCGGTTATTGAAATTGTTATGGGGCGTTATTGACGCGGGACTGCGACGTTATTGAATAAGTTTTTTGCGCAGTGTTATTAAAAGGTTATTGCAGCGCTATTAGAGATTTATTGAAGTTGTTTTGTGAGACTTATTAAAGTGGAACCGCATATGTTATTGAAGCGGTTCACCGTGCGGTGTTATTGGGGGGTATTGCAACATTATTCATATGTTAGACTATATGTGTGACCAAATATTTAAAAAAATATATAAAAGTTAAATTCTATTTGTTACTTAAATAAAATACATATAAATTGATCCTTTAAAATCAGATTTAGTAAATCTTGCAAGAGATAAATTTCAAAACAATTTGACAAGTGATTTAATAAACTTGTTAAATGAAAGTGTTTGACAATTTTTATTAGTATTTAAAAATCTGTTATGGCCCTTAAACTAACAATAAATCATAATAAAAATTAGCAAATTATATAAATTCGACTTATTAAAACAACTCAAAGTGGTCAAAATTTGCGAGGTTCTTAATGTTAATCAATATTTTATTTTAAAATTTGATAATTCATAATTATATATTTACTAAATTAATTAATTATTAATATTAAAATATACTTATAAATTTATGGAATGAATAACAATTTAATATTTATATTTTTAATAATTAATACAATAAGTATAAAACTATTTAATTATAATTAATATGATAATATTTTTATTAATGAGTAATTATTATTCAATTAAATTAAGAAAATTAACTTAAATAAAATCAAATCAAGAAAACTGAACCCTCCCGATGCAGCTGCAATTGGACCTAGCCGAGAACTTAATTTCTTGGAGGAGAGGAAAGGGTTTCGATTTGCTAGCGAACCAGAAGATCGAGAAGATCGCTCGTAGATCATCGCTCTGAAGTTATAATGGAGGTAAGGGTTTGGTATTCGTTGCTCCTCATGTTCCGGTGCTTTTAGTCTTCATTTTTATTCGTCTTTTTATCTTTATCCGCGAGTTTCCTGCAGTGCGGTGCAGTTTCATCACGGATGAGCGAGGGTTCAGTCGGCACCGAGACAGGTTCAGAGAGGACACTGTATGTTCTCCTTTTTTTCCTAATTTTGATCTCCAGCTACCTCAGATATTTACTGCTTATTATCATCTGCGCATTATTCTGTATATATTTTGTTAGGAACGAGCTCGGATTTTCTTAGAGTGGCAAAACTGTGCTAGGTTTCCAATAAATTGAGAGCACTTGAGAGATGGTTAAAGCGAAATGTGTAACATTGTGGATTTTTCTCAGATCCATGAACAATAATTTTAGCAGCTGTTTTACCTCAATTAGGATTAAACTCAAATAGAATTTAGTAAATCCTGTGAACCCATATGTAGTAAATACTGGGGGTGTTATAAATTTTTTGTTATGATAGAGATTAAATGCATTTAAATCCTGTGGATTTATCTGATAATTTATTTTAGGTTTTAAGTTCATTATCTTAAGTTGAATTTAAATATTAATTAAATGGTCTGAAATAAAGTGCACAAATAAAACAGTGAGCCATATTAAGTATTATGTTATTCAGCTCGATAACTCAATTAGAGCTATCTCATTCGTGATTTTCAGCTTAGAATAATGCTTGCTTCAAATATGCGTAGGTGCGGTGAAGAACACTCTGAATATCTAAGAATCAATAGGCTAGCAACATTAACTTTTTTTTGTTCTGCTGATATTTAGTAAATGATCATTTTAACTGCTTCTTGTCTCATTTATGCAATAAATATGATGTGATAGTTACCGAAAATTTATGTTAAAGTTGTTGAGCTGATAGGCAAAAAGTTTAAAGGTGCTCATTGATCTATTTGTGCAATTTATTACAAACCACTTATCAAATAATATCATTTAAATCCAACTGAAGATAACATGTTTAAATTCTAAATTAAGTTGTCAAATAGTTTTACAAGATTGAACTGAATTTAATGTCAATAATACCAAGTAGTCTTCAAGATCCAACACGCCATGATTTATTAAATCATGATTTACAAGATTTATTGAATCATATTTAAGTTAAATCCTGCTTGCAACCAATACTCCGAATTATCAGATTTTGTAAATTCGAGATTTACGGCGATATGGGGTTGTCATAGGATTTAAACTTGCTTCAAATTTAACTTATAAAAAATGATCGTTTGGCAGGATTTATGGTTATATCCCAATTAAATCTCTCAAATTCGCTACTAAACAACCCCACAAGATTAAGGTTATTATATGTTTGATGTATCAACTCCCTACTGACTTGCTGACTGAATTTATGTAGTACGGAAACCTGAGAAGTTTCAAGTAGTTTTCGTAGTATGAACTGCCGGCTATCCAAGATTTGATTGGAAACTTATTTGGAAACCTCTTGATTTTTGTTTATTTATTTCCTATTCATATTTTTTTATTTTTATTTTTGAATTATCTCCTTTCATAATTTAGGTTAAATATATTTGGTAAGTTTGTAAATTACGATGGATTGGATTATTCTTTATATATATGCACCCTACATGTGAATAAATAAATCAAACAATTTTTCCTAAGTAATTTCTACATGATATCGGAGCAATAGAGATTTACTCCTTCCAGAGCCAAACCTCCTTCCAGAACTTGATCTCCTTCCCACCAGGCTGTTCCATCCTTCATGTCAGAACCAAACCTTATTATTGCAGCTAAGAAACTCCTTTGCTAGAGCCAAATTTATCCCTGCAAGTTGCCCAGGCCCGCAAATTCCCTCCCAAGCCGCTCATCCCTGGCTCCGTAGTCCGCTCCTTCTTGCAATAGGCTTTCCTTTGTTGGATTTTCTCCAAGCTAGAATATCCCTGCTACACGCCATCTTGCTAAATGTTGTAGCCCCTTGCAACGAATTTCTCCTTTTGTCTATGGGGCATTCTTCCTTTGTCAGCCTTCTGCTATCTCTGTAGGGGCCTACTTCTATTGTCCCTGTAGCAACTATCACTATTGACACTTCTCATGTTGTCCTTGTGGCAGCTCTCATCTACTGACACATTTGCTATCTCATATTGCTCCCTAATCCCAACAACCAACTTCCTTATTTCTCTCAGGAGACCAGGCACCGATTTCCTCCCTATGAAAGCAAGCAGATGCAACCTAGACTCTTCTCCCTGGTTCTTCCCTACAAATTCCTTGTATTTGCAGGCTGCACCTTGCAACTTTTAATGCCAAAACTCTTCCCTGCAACCTGCAAAATCCTTTCTATAGCCACATGTCTTCCTGTAATAGTCCTTTTGCTGAAGCTTCTTCCTGTAATAGTCCTTTTGCCGAAGCTTCTCCTTGCAGCAAACCCTCCATCGAAACTTATCCCTGCAACAGGATCTCATTTGAAACTTCTCTCCCGCAGCGTTCAACACCAGAATTCTCTCTACAGGTCGTAAAAGTCTCTGGAGGCCCTCCCAATTCATGTCTCTTCTCCCCTTATTTCCTTGTAGGGTCGTAGCAGTGGATCTTATTGCTCCCTCTCCCTGTCAGACGTCTCCCGGTAGCCAGAGCAACATCAGGTTTAGGTAGCAGCCAGAGCAACTCTGCAAACATCTCCTAGTGCTCTTTACAGTTTTTCAGGCGTTCTTCCACTCCTACAGCTAGAAGCGGTCATGAATCCTACAACTTGCACCAACTTGTAATTCTTCCTGCCTAAATTTGAATAAGGTTTATGACCAAGTACAAAATGAAGACGTCTAGTTCTACTTCGGAGCCTACTAACTAGACGACACACCAAGATATCATATCATCCTATATTGCTAATAATGAAAGAATTTGACGGTGGATAATAAATTCAGGTGCTTTTGATCATATGACTTTGGACATTCATACAAGTTACCAAGAGATCACCAATCTCAAATTTGTTTGACTTGCCGATGAATCTCACTTCAGAATTATTGGGAAAGGAGATGTGAAAATCTCTAAATCTATTCAACTTTCATCAGTGTTATATGTTCCCCAACTAGATTGCAATTACTTTCAATTAACAAATTTATTGATGATCTAATTCATGTTACTAAATTATGTTATAACTCTTATAAATTTCAAGTGGTGGATTCGGGGAAGGTGATTGACAGTGCTAAATTGCATCAATGTCTATACCCACTCAAGGAGAACTATTCCCTTAACACACACGTCTCTTCTCCACTATCCCCTTCATGATCCCAAGTCTGCTTTGTCCGAGTCTATTGAAAGTCAAGTTTTATTATGCCATTGTTGTCCGGGTCATCCCAATTTTTCTTATATTGCGAAGTTGCACCATCATCTTTTTATTAACAAAATGTTCGAGTTCCATCAGTGTGAAATCTGCTAATTAGTTAATCATATCCCTCATGTATATCCTCAGTTTCACTACAAACCCTCACATCATTTATTTATCATCCATAATGAGATTTGAGGACCTTCAAAGTTGAAAATCATCAATGGACACAGGTGGTTTGTTTTTTTCATTGATGGTCACACCAGAACCCGTTGGGTATTTCTCAAAAAGGAGAAATCCGAAATTGCACAATTTTTTTAGTCCTATGACATGATTTACGCTTAATTTTAATGCAAAATTCAGATTCTCAAAACTGATAGTGTAAAGAAATACTTCAATTCTATTCTTGGACCCTTCCTTGTGAAGGGAGAGATCATTTATGTGAGTTACTGTGTTGAGTCTTCACAATAAAATGAGATAGCTGAGAGGAAAAATATATATCTCCTTGAGGTATTTAGGTCTATACTGATTTCTCATAATGTTCTAATAGATTTTTTTTGGTAGATTTTGTGCTCACAACTACCTACCTCATTAATAGAATGTCAAGCAGAGTTCTTGGATTAAAAGTTTCTCTCCATATTTTAATAAAAAAAATATCTGCATGTTAGATCATTTTCATGTAATATTCCTTTAAAAGTATTTGGTTCTCTTTTGTCCACATTTACCAACCGAACCACACAAAGGTTGACCTAAAATTCATCAAGTGTATTTCTTTGAGTTTGCCTCCAACAAAAAATGTATAAATGTTATTCTGCTGTTACCATAAAATATTAAAACTTCATGGATGCACATTTTTTGAAAATCAATCTCACTATCCTAAATTTGCTCTTTGGGGAGAGAGTGCAAATGGGCATCAATTTTGGGGCTCACTTAATGATACCCACACGACAACCCCACCTCACCTGCTCTTCTTCCATGCCCTCTTCCATCTGACTCTATTACTCTTGTTTAGGATATCCAACCAACCTAACATGAAGTCCACAACAAAAATCTTCGTGTGTATTCTAGGAGAAGAAAAACTTTGAGCAGGTAGAAGACAATCTGCAAAAACATAACAGCTCCAACCAAAATATGTGTGTTGAAATTTATGGGGATGAGTCTAGTAGTCACGAGTTATCCCATTCCTCTTTTGGTGCTAATGAGAAGGAAAGTTGTACCATATACTCAATTCAGGAATAAGTAGCTTATGATAAATTATCCTCAGCATATAGAGCATTTATATTTAACATCGACCAAATTTATTTATGAAGCTTTTGAAAAGGCAGAATGGAAGAAAGCAGTGGAAGAGGAGATTTGAGCGCTACAACATAATGACACATAGATTTTTGCGAAATTCCCTTAACATAAGAAACTAGTTGGATTGAAGTGGGTGCTCAACATTAAATACAAAGGTGATGAGAGTATTGAGAGATTCAAAATTGAAATTGTCGCGAAAGGTTTCACGCAAGGCTATGAGATCTACTTTCAGGATACCTTCACACCAGTTACCAAATTATAATATTTCCAGAGTTGTCTTTTCAATAGTAATTAACAAGGAACGATGACTGCATCAACTTAACAAAAAAAAATGTTTTCCTGAATGGGGATTTGGAAGAAAAAGTGTACGTGGAGATGCCACCAACAAACACTTAGTATGTAAAGCCACGAAGTACCTCAATGGGCTTTAAAAATTACTAATGGCTGGTTTGAAAGATTTACTAAGATCATGAAATTCAATGGATATTCTCAAAGTCAAGTTGATCACATATTATTCATAAAACACACTCTTGAGATAAGATTATTGCACTGATCGTATATGTTGACC